TCGTGGTCAACGAGGGTCCAGATTTCCACGTTGAGGTGCAGGATGTTCCAGTCCCAGAATGTGGTATGTGTCGAGCACTGTTCAGGGAATCGACGGGTGTTGACAACGCTCCCAGGGCCCACGGACGTACTCATCAAGCTCAATGCGACCGGTATCTGCCACAGCGATCTTCACTTCATGCTCAACGACTGGGCTCTCCCCAAGATGTCAGATTTAGGAGTCCGGTGCGCGGGCCACGAAGGCAGCGGTGTCATCGTCAAAGTCGGAGACCAGGTCAAGAACTTGAAGCCGGGAATGCGAGCTGGATATAAGGTGAGCAGGCCGTATATCATGTCCCCATGCATCGAGGAGGAAGCGATGCGAAGGGAGAGCCTTTCCAGAAGAACATACGCTGACGTTTCCAGCCAATCCAAGACACTTGCGGCACATGCGAGCTTTGTCGCAACGGCAACGAATGCTACTGTGCAAAGGCAGTCTTGACTGGACTGATGATCGACGGCTCATACAAGCAGTACATCGTTTCGCCCGAACGTTACACAACCCTCGTCCCAGATGGTGTAAACGACTACATAGCTGGACCTATCATGTGCTCTGCTTCGACAATCTACACATCAATCAAGGAGTCACAGCTGCGGCCCGGAGACTGGGCCGTGTTCCCTGGTGCAGGCGGTGGCGTCGGTCTACAAGGCGTGCAGCTCGCGAAAGCTATGGGTCTGCGCGCCATAGCCATTGATACTGGCGATGACAAGCAAAAGCTCTGTATGGAAACTGGAGGCGCAGAGCACTTTATCGATTTCAAGAAGACCGACAACGTAGGCGAGGAAGTGGTCAGATTGTGTGACGGCATCGGTGCCCATGGCGTCTTCGTCACCGCCGTGCAGACCTACCCGTCCTCGGTATCCTATCTGGGCAACCGTGTAGGCGGAAAGGTCATGTGCATTGGGTTGCCGCCGGCTGGTACTCAGCACATCGACGTGGACCCGAACCAGATGTGCTTCAGGAAACAGAGTGTACAGGGTACGCTCGTGAGCAGCATGGCGGACGTCGACAAGACGCTCGATTTTGCGAAGCGAGGACTGTTGAAGCCCATCTACACTGTGTATCCGCTGAGCAAGTTCAACGAAGCGGTGCAGAAGCTGAAGCGGGGAGAGATTGCTGGCCGGGCAGTTGTCGATTTCAACCAGGAGTAGAGGGAATGCAAAGCTTACCTGTAAATGAAATGATACACGTAAAGTTGTTGCATTTCTACGACGACATGATGTGGAGAACGTGGCCGGGTGGTGATGCCTGGGCTCGTTTGGCATGTGATTGAATGGCCTTGGCATGTGTGCGATCAAGCGCCAGCCACGCCTCACCAAATACCGCAATGGGACGACATCCCTCCACTGCACGTAATGGTTGCTTGAGCAATGCGCCCCAGCCTACACAAGAGCATATGTCGAGGGCATGTCCAGCTCGTCGTCAAATCCGTCGTCCCATGGACAGGCTGAAGCATCGTCGAGGCGCACATTCAACGGGAAGCAGCCGGTCGTGGAGGACGACGACAGCGATGAAGAGGCGCTGCTGGCGGACGATCCACTAGAACGCGACCTACCTGAGCAGTATGCGCACACAGCGCCCTTGGTATACCTCCATACTAACGCGCATCTCCAGGCTGTCTTTCAAGCGCAGGCCCAAGCCGTCTGCATCCTCCTTCGGCTTCTCGCGATACCTCGCCTCACCCCTCGGATCAGCTAGCAACCGCGCTTCGCCCCAGCCACCATCGCACCGCCCGAACGGCTCCACCGAGCTTATACTCAACTATCTCGACACGCCTGGCAACGCAGGCGAACACCTCCAAGACACCAAAGATGCAAACGGCCTGGACTGGTATGTCGAAGGGCCCGGGCGACGAGTCGGCTACGATGACCTTACAGCAATCGACTGGATCTTCGAATACGCCAAAGAACGACAGAGGCTGCGCTATCTCTACACCGGCGCCAGCGGCGTACTTGGCCACCTCAAGCAGTTGGCAGACGCAAGCCAGGTCTGGATCATCCTGGTCGCTGCTGGTATACTGAGCGGCGGCATCGCAGCCTTCATCGATGTGGCTAGTGACTGGCTTGCGGACCTCAAGACGGGATACTGCCACAATGTTGATGGAGACGGTCGCTTCTACCTGAACAAGAGCTTCTGCTGTTGGGGGATCGAGGAAGAGCAGGCCTGTCATGACTGGAACTCCTGGGGCGCTGCCATGGGTATTGGGAGTGTGGGAGGGCGCTATGTTGTCGAGTACGTCTTTTTCGTGCTCTTCTCTGTGCTCTTTGCAGCATGCGCCAGTCTTCTGGTGCGCGAGTTCTCGCCGTACGCGAAGCATAGTGGCATACCCGAGATCAAGACGGTCCTGGGCGGCTTCGTTATCCGACACTTTCTGGGCGGATGGGCACTGGTCACAAAAACGGTTGGCTTGTGCCTCGCAGTCGCGTCAGGCTTGTGGCTAGGCAAGGAGGGTCCGCTGGTACACGTCGCATGCTGCTCTGCGAACCTTTTCATGAAACTCTTTGGTAATGTGAACGGCAATGAAGGTCAGCGTGGTTCCCCATTCTCTGGTCTCCAAGTACTGACAGGAGAATAGCACGGAAACGAGAAGTGTTCTCCGCAGCGGCTGCAGCGGGTATCTCGGTCGCTTTCGGTGCGCCCATTGGGGGCGTGTTATTCAGTCTTGAGCAACTCTCATATTACTTCCCGGATAAAACCATGTGGAGCAGCTTTGTCTGCGCCATGGTCGCTGCTGTCACCCTGCAGGCTTGCAATCCATTCCACACCGGAAAACTCGTGTTGTACCAAGTCACGTATCATAGTGGATGGCATGACTTCGAGTTGGTCCCTTTCGCATTCCTTGGAATCTTGGGCGGGCTCTTTGGGGGCTTCTTCATCAAGCTCAACATGGGCGTTGCTGAGTGGCGCAAGAACCGACAGTATCTCAAAGGTCCCGTGACAGAGGTTGTCATCGTATCTTTCGTCACAGCACTCATCAACTTCCCCATCAAATTCATGCGCGCTCAAGCGTCCGAACTCGTACACATCTTATTTGCCGAATGCGCCGACCTCGCCGAGGATACGCTGGGCCTATGTAAATCTGGCAAAGCAAACACAGGAGTCATTGCACTCTTACTCATCTCCTCAGGACTGGGCATAATACTTTCGGGCTTCACTTTCGGCCTGCAGATACCTGCTGGAATTATCCTCCCTTCTATGGCCATCGGAGGACTCTTTGGCCGTGCTGTGGGACTTTCTGTCGAAGTTGTTCAGGCGGCCTGGCCAACGCTTTTCGTTTTCAAATCGTGCGAACCAGACGTACCCTGTGTAACCCCAGGCACGTACGCTATCGTCGGTGCCGCATCCGCACTTGCCGGAACGACACGTATGACAGTTTCAATTGTAGTCATCATGTTCGAACTTACCGGAGCGCTCACCTATGTCCTGCCTATCATGATTGCGGTCATGATAAGTAAATGGATTGGCGACGCAATCTCCCCACGTGGTATCTATGAGTCCTGGATACACTTCAAAGGCTATCCTTTTCTTGACAACCGCGAAGACAACGGTTCCAGCATCCCAGATGTTGGCGCAGGTTATGTAATGACGCGCATCGAAGACTTGACTGCGATTACTGCGACTGGCCATACTATCGGATCGCTGCGCCAGCTTCTATCTCAACACAGATTTCGTGGCTTTCCTATCATAGACAATAGCCGAGATGCACTTCTCCTCGGTTACATCTCCAGGACCGAATTGCAGTACGCACTCCAACTTGCCTTGACGCCCCCCCGTACCTTGGCCGCCGAAACAGAAGCGTACTTTTCTCACCAACCGCTCTCTGATCCTGCAACATCACTGGACCTTCGGCCTTGGATGGATCAAACACCCATCACACTCAACGCTAGAGCCAGCTTTCAGCTTACAGTGTCCATGTTCCAAAAGCTTGGGCTACGCTATGTTTTGTTTACGGACCGAGGTATGCTGAAAGGCTTGCTTACCAAAAAAGACGTGTGGTACGTAATGAACGGTGTTGACGAAGAGCGCGAAGAAGGTGGTGCAGGGGTGGTGGGGAGAGGAGGTCTTAGGCAGGAGAGTGATGACGACGAAGAGAGCGAAGAAAGAGGGTTACTCGGTACGCCAGAAGAGGAACACGACGACTTCATTGGCGCGCACGATAGATAGCTGAGTGTAGAAGCTGTAGCACCATGTTCCACACGCGCACATGGACGGTGTAGTTCCTGTCAGAACAAAGTCTAAACTCTAATTGCGTGACGAGTTGCCGGTGATGCAACGGGACTCCAAAGCCCCGGCGAATGGCAAGGATGGCGTCCGATCGCTGTGGTGGCAAGTTAGCCGTTGATCGAGGGTGTGGGGATGGATGTGCGCTGGAACATCAGAAATAGCAATCCCGTCTTCTGTTCCTGCAGACCGCTACAGGGTTGCAATTTCGGCTTTCGCGACGTTTACAGATGGTCACGAGGTCTACATGCACCGACAGCGAAGGGCTACATGTCCACCGCTCCAATACGCGCCAAGATCCTACGCAGCCAATCGCACCTGCTTGTCATCTAGCGTTGTGTATCCAGCCAGTGATGGGCCTAGCGCGGTGGCTATACCGCGGCTTCCTTGCGCCTGCATCGACCCGCCCTTAACAGCCGGCCGCGCCCATTCTGACTTCAGAGCCTTTCACTCCTTCGGCCTTTGACGTGTCCCCTCGTTTGTCAGACGTCTTTGAGCTCCCCAACAAAAGCAACACAATCTGGAATCGAGCTTCAAAGATCTACGCCCGTCATGCAACCCTCATTAGCGTAACGCAGGAGCACGCAGCGGCTATGACTGAAACTTGGCATACGTCGCGGACAGGACATCGACGACGATTACCGCGTTGAACAGATCCCACGACTTCCCCGCCATTACGACACTGCCTATACTTTTTCTTTCACTTTCTTGCAGAGCCGTATACAGACTAGGGCGACGACATGGCGGCGACCGAAGTCGAGAGGAAGAGCAGGAAGAAGTCCTCGCACTCTTCGTCCAAGACTGCGAAGCCGCGCTCCTCTTCTAGGAAACCACGCGTTTCGGCTTCAGTGGCAGACATGTACTTGCAAGATTACGCGCCTCCGGTCCAGGCGACCTCTCCTCAGCGTGCAGCAGCAACGAGGCCTCCCCCGACCCTCTATGGCTATGCCGCGAGTCCGCCTCAGCACTCCATTTATCGCCAGATGCCTGGGTCCTTTCCAGAAGACAGTTACCGATATGGCTCTCCGCCACCGCAGCCTGTTCAGCCATACGCTAGTCAATCAACGATCCGCTTTGCTTCTCCGCCACCCCAAGAACCCCGCGGTCAAGGCCCTTTCGAACAACAATGGAATAGTCTCGACCGAATGGCCGCCAAATCCTACCTGAATCTTCGCGATACGGCTGGAAAGAGTGTCACGAAACTGACGACCAACTGCATTGAGCGGCCCACCGCAGCTGTCGCTACAAAGAGCATGCAAACGTTGTGTCGCGGAGCTGCGCTATACGATATGATTAGTTCGAAGTTCGACGCAGTCATCACCAGCATTGATGACGATCACTTCAGCGGCAAAGAACAAGACCTCATGATGGAGTTCAGCGAGCAGCAGCAAGAAGAGGCTCAGAGAACGAGCCCTCCTCTTGGTGAACCAAGACGCCGACGCCAACACGAAGTGCAATCCCACTCTAGTAGCGATAAAGGGTCGAATCATTTCTCCAAAGTGTGGCTATACTCCAACTCCCGATTACCACCACATCTGCCGCCTTTCAAGGTATATCTACCAACGTATCCTCTACTTTGCTTGGCCGCAACCTACTCGGAGAAGGCGTACACGCCGCCAGGCACGAAGAAGAATCCCGAAATGGAGACTTTCATTCCTGCTGATTGGCGTAGCGGCACAAAAGCCATGGTACTCAAGTCCATCCCTGTGGAAGAACTGAATACTATTGTCTTCGCTATTCGCGGAAGCCAGACCTTTATGGACTGGGCTGTCAACTACAACTCGGCACCCCACAGCCCGGAGAAGTTTCTTGACGACCCATCAAACCTGTGCCACGCTGGCTTTCTCTACGTGGCCAAGAAGATGATCAAGCCCGTGGCAGAACGGTTGAAGGTCTTGCTCCAAGAAAACCCCGCGCGTTCAAACTGCAGTCTACTCATCACCGGACACTCCGCGGGCGGAGCAGTCGCGGCACTGCTTTACGGACACATGATGAGCACAAAGATCAATTCTGAGCTTAATTACCTGACCAGCTTCTTCAAGCGCGTGCACTGTGTCACGTTCGGTGCGCCACCAGTCAGTCTGCATCCTTTGAAGAAGCCTGATGACAAGCGACATCGTAAAAGTCTCTTCTATGCCTTCATCAACGAAGGCGACCCGATACCGCGAGCGGACAAGAGCGTGCTGAAAAGCTTGCTGAAGCTCTATGCCAGTCCAGCACCTGTCGCGGCTTCTAACCTTGCTTCGACCGTTGCATCGGTGTCTAAACCCAGCCTTCTAGACCCTTCGCGGTCTTCCCCACCGAAACCGAAATCGAAGTATGGTTTTGCCCCGCGCCTTAGCAGGCCCTCCAAGTCTTCACTACAAACGAACACTACAAACTCGACTTCTTCTTCCTTGCCTGCATGGCCAATACCGCAGTGTACATTGTCACCTGCGGGGCGATTGGTAGTGTTGAGACAACGAGTTGGAAGCAGAAGTGAGGAAGATATCGAGGCAGTAACGGTGGACGACGAGATGTTGAGGAAGGTTGTATACGGTGATTTGCTGAAACACCAGATGACCGTCTACAAAAAAAGGATTGATAGCGTGGCTGTTAGGGCTGTCACCGCGAATGGGTGCTGAGCGGCCGGAATGGCTGTACACGAAATTGATGACCGCACACAGAAATGAATGAGCGATGAATCTATATACCCAGTTTCTTGATCTGCTGTCCTTATACTGCCTGTTTTCACGTCTTCCAAGCACATGCGCCCCAGATTTGGGTTCATGCCATTGTGAATTCTCCAGGCCCAGGAGAGAAGGTATTTGGAGATGAGCAGACGGGTTCATTTGCATGATGATAGGTACAGTCTTTATACACCAAAACCTTGGTTCACATAAGTCTCATCTGCAGGGTTGCATGACGACCACTGGACTGTACACGACAATTAAGATGGACGCTAGAGTGCATGTTGATGATTCGAAATATACCAGCCCGTTCACGTCTCGATAGCCTCTGCACTACATACAGAGGGCAATTTGGTATTTAAAAACTTTCTTCAGGCTCAGTGAGAGATCTCCGCCTACGGCTCGGCATTATAGACTAGCCGAACGCCAAACATACATACATAAGATACCTTACTTCTTCATTATGTGTGTCAATGTGTGTAGTTCAGCGCTCAAGTATCTAACATGGTGTCATATATACATACTTCGTGAAGCAAAGATCTAAACGTTCTAGCGACGTGCATACACTAGGTTGCGGAGGAGAATGCGTGGGCAACATAATCTACCACCATGATTTAACGGAGCAAGCCCAGACTAGGTACTAGCAAGCCAGGTATCCCTTGCGCGATCTCCCTTTGACGATTGCAATCAATGTAAAGTCGCCATTCCGGGGCGGGATGACGGAAGGGAGCACTTTGTAGTTTAGTAATCTCCACCCCACGATATATATCCGCCAGCTCCCCAGTGTGTCAATCAATGGTATTCTACCAATGTCAAGTCCTCTACCCGCCCAATTTCTGACGTCCACAAGTCCTCGTATACCCACATGCGGCCGGTGGGCAACAACTCATGCGCATGGCGAGGATCAGTTGACGAGGTCAGGCGTGCTGATGAACTACACATGCTCACCCGCCAAATCAGCCTTCACCTTCTACCTCACCCAGGCAGCGCATCCGTGCATGTTCGTCCATGGCTGATCACATCCTTCTTCCCGCTCTCTAACCACGACTGTACTCTCGACAAGATATCAGCGGTACGACTCAGCAATGCAGGCAGCCATGTTGTCGCATACTGGTAGCACCTGCGGGACGCCGTCGGCGAGAAATTGCGCCGATTGCGGATTATCTTCCGCTGAAACTCGTCCGCGTCGCAAACAACTGGAGACACATTGCGTCTGCCCAAGTCAAGAGAACACAATATAACGCTAGACAACATACAGGAAGACGTCGACAAAAGTATAAAACATAGGCGGACGGCGCTTCTACGGAATATCTTCCACGCATCTCGCAACTGAAGACGACACAACAACACGACTTCCCTCGGCTCGATTACTACATCAACAATCAAAATGGCGATTATCCAGATTCCCAGCGAGTACGGGTACGTTCAAATGCAACGGCAGAAACCTCAATGCATTCCCTTCCACGACCCCTCACCAAAGCCCACCCACAAACTAATCCACACACGCACAGCTACGTCCTCGCCGCCTGCGTCTCCACCTTCTTCGTCGGCGCCTGGCACGGCGGCCGCGTCGGCGGCTTCCGCAAAGCAGCCAAGATCCCCTACCCCTACGAATACGCCTCGTACGAACAAGTGCAAACCGCGTCGCCGCAATCCAAAGCCGCAATGCTGGCCTTCAACTCGGCGCAGCGCGCGCACCAGAACTTCAACGAGAACCACGTCACCGCCCTCGGCGCCATGCTCATCAGCGGACTGAGATATCCTGTTGCGGCGGCGGTATTGGGCACAGTGTGGAGTGTGAATCGCGTGGTTTACGCGGTGGGTTACACCAGGAGTGGTGAGGATGGTGGCAAGGGGAGGTACTATGGCGCGCTGTGGATGATTGCGCACTATGCCATGGTGCTTATGAGCGGTAAGGCGGCTTACGATCTTGTCATGGCTTGAGTGGGCTGGGTATGTGGGTACACGCAGGTTGCACGGAAGAAGAGGCGGAACGCTGGATTGGAGATGTACTGGAATGTACTTGAGGATGTTGGAAAACATGTCTTGGTACTTCACGGACAGGCGCCATCTGCACCTCGTCAGATGTTGACTTGGTGTGATTTGCGCTGAGAATAATCCGCTTAATACGAAGATGGCATGTGTCCCGTTCCTATCTCTACGGCTTCGAACTCTCTTGTATTATGGAAATCTCCGACGTTCCGTATCAATCCACTGCTTCAGGGTCTAGCAGAACACGAGCTAAGCCTGACTTGGTTTCGTATCTACAATGTAAACTTTTATACGTGTAGTTCACACACCATGCCGTACTGCAGCAATCGATATACCTCAAAGCCCCTATTTAGAGGTCGTCTTTACACCTCCGTCTTTCCAGTGAGCCCTGACTTCTCCAATGCGATTATAGTACCATGTATATCCTAGACCTGGTTAGCCGCTTTGATAGTTGCATGTCAACTGACGGAAAAAACTCACTGGGAACGCGGCAAGTAGACAGAGAATGTTGCCACAAAGGAAGATGCAGACAGACACAGCAATCTGAACAAGAATCAGTCTGGCGTGCTTCCACAGCTCATCCGCCGGCACACGGGAGTGTAGGACGATCACGGCAATGGGCGCTGCAAGCACCTTCTGCATCGTCCGTCGGCATGTGTCTTGGAGGGTCAGGAAGCCGTTGCTGTAGTTGCTGTTCTGAGATGGGCGGGTCGGCAGTTCTGCGTGCAATTGAAGACCTCGGATCAAGCAAAACAGACCAAGGGCAACCGTAACGTTCAGGACATTGTGATAGCGTGTTGCAGCCGGGCACTCGAGCCCCCTCTGCGCCAAACGGTCGCATTGTTTGCGAAGACGGCGGTCGGTGGCGAAAGTAGATGCTATGAGGCGCGCAATCTGGACAACGAGGAGAGTGAGAACTGCCTGTACGCCGAGAAAGAGGATAGCATGCAGGATTGCCTTGGCATAAACAATCGAGCGGGGACCACGGTTAGTGCGTGCCAACAAGGATACTGGTCCTGAATTCGGCGGTGAGATCCCGACGGTGTCGTCGACGAGAACGTAGCTATGCGTCTGACGGGTGCGACGGGATAGCCAGATGCGGGCGATCTCAAAAGTGATGGAGAAGATGGCGACGAGGAGCAGAGTAACGAGTGCGATGTTGGCTGTCGTCGAGAGATTCATGGCTAGGTAGAGAGGCAGATCTGGGGTTCAGAGTCAGTGGGTGTTGTGCCAGTCGCTTTGGATAACGTACTTCCCCGCCATAGCTCTTGCCATACGGACTGCATGGGTGGATCTTGCCTTGACATGCTGGTTGTGGGTAGAGTTTGATCCGAGGAACAGGAGAGATTGATGGGTGGAAGGGCATGAGGCGAACAATCGATTGCTATGACGTGGCAGGGTGGAGGTGAGAGCGCCTCCTCCGTCGCGCCTTCCTCACATTGGGCACGACCATCAACTGTGAATCATTCGTTCGAATCATATTTGTTTGCTGCTCTTTCACTCTAATTGACTCACTCCCGCTCGTACATGCAGAACTCGAATTCGACACCCTGCTCCTCAATCCCACCCTCTTGGATCTCCTCTCCAGTGAATGCCTGCACTTCCTCTCTGCTCGTGTTCCTCCAAATTGTCGTCTCCCCCAGATTGACAGGGAAAAATGTGTCGCACTCGAATTCCTTCTTTATCTTTGTGAGGAGAACTCGTTTTGTCTGCGGAAGTTGAAGCGCCGTTTCGTATATAGTTGCTCCGCCAATAACAAAAATCTTATCCAGCTCTATCGCTGAGCCTTGGAGTCTGCTATCATCCTGCTTCTCGAGCTGTGCTATCGCATCCAACACACTGGAGCAGACCATTGGTCCTTCGACCTCCGTATTCTTGTCTAATTTACTTTTGAACTCTTCTGGCTTCGACGTAACGACGATGTTTAGGCGATCTTTCAGAGGCCGAAACTTGGGGGGTATGCTCTCCCACGTCTTACGACCCATGAGCACAGCGTTTACTTTCTTGGTGCTCGCCGTGGACGCTGAAGGCGATGTACGCTTCGTGACTCGCGCAAAGAATCCCATCTCTTTTTTCAGCTGCGGCCATGGCAAGCCTCCACCGTTTCCAATTCCGAGACTCGGTGTGGCTGCAAGAATGAGAGTCAGAGTTGGTGGTTTAGGTGGCATTTCGGAGACGTTGATGTTGTGCGTAGCTGAGTTTTCCATCGATGTCGTGTTGTTCGGCTTGGTAGAAGAGCGTTGGTCCGGCATCGCACGACGTGTCTGGGTATTGGAAAAGCTTCAGGCACTGAGAGCTTGATCGTGAAGCCGAAATGCAAGCTGTATGAAGGTTAGACGTGGGATGTTGCATTAGTTGCACGCGGGCTTGCGAGCGGCGCTAGCGGAAACAACAGAACGTGATTCAGCCGCAGAGGTACGGACGTTTGCATGTGTCACGCCATGCTATTTTATGCTTGTGACACGTTTGCGCAATGTTGTGAAAATCCCATCTCTTCACGTTCAGCACGGATGATTGATGACTTGCATACGAGTTGACATTCCCGCACGAAAACGAGTTATAATACACAGGCCGGATACCTTCGATCATGCACAAGAAAATCCAACACCTGAACGCACGCTGACAATACGACACGCTGCGCTGCATCATTCCATCGTGGCCGTTCCAAACCCCCACGCCGGAATGGTCAAGACATTGAACGCCTAATAATTACACCTTCGCAATGCCGCTACCAGATCGGAACCATTTGCATGAAGAAGCAAAACCTCGTACAACCCCTTTCATGCAACGTCGTTCTTGTTTATCGAGTTTCCAATGGGTATCTTTTGGGTTATTTTAAGGCTTGCTGTAGAGCAAAAATCCAGACTTCCTCCACATACTCGAATACTGGTTACTCTATCGCGGAGGAGGCATGCCATACTATCCGCTTTCGCCACCTTCCCCACTGCTCTTGAGTGGTATCG